TGTGTCCCTTTATTTGTGTCGCTTCAGTTAAGTTTCAACAGGTTTTCAAAATTTCTATGCAGCTTCAAAAGTTTAAAGCTTAAACTAAGTTTTAGATTTTTCAGTTACTATTTCGCTAAATATTTTTACAGTATTTACATTAGTCGGACTATTGTCCTCATCTTTGTCGACATATTTGTCACAACGTTTCGGTCGTTGTACGCTCCGGCCTTCTTCAGGTGATTGGAATTTCGAACTGAACCCTTTATTTCGATCACTGGGGTAGACTGTTCTAGTTCCACGTGCCATGTTTGATGGATGTCAGTTATCAGTTATCTCCTGCTAATTTTCCCTCTGAAAGTCCTCATCATTTTTACCAGTGCTCATATTGCAATTTTGCTGTTATCATTGCATGTCTTTACCAGAGTTCATATTGCAACTTTGTTATCATTGCTTTTCTCTGGCATTCCTTATTACTGGTTCCTGAAATGATGCTGAAAACATTAGGTTTACAATACTCAGAAGTTCATACCCAGATGTCCTCAAGGACACATGGCACAGTGGATAAAGGCGTTGGTTAGATCCAGTGACAGACCGAAGAAGGTGAGTTCAATTCCTGGGTAAGGCAGTGGAGAACTTGAAGAGGGAAAATTAACAGGAGATAATGATAACTGACATCCATCAAACATGGCACGTGGAACTAGAACAGTCTACCCCAGTGATCGAAATAAAGGGTTCAGTTCGAAATTCCAACCACCTGAAGAAGGCCGGGGCGTACAACGGCCGAAACGTTGTGACAAATATGTCGACAAAGATGAGGACAATAGTCCGACTAATGTAAATACTGTACATAATACCTCATCTCAGAAATATAGACAGACTCTGAATATTTTTATTTGATATATTTACATTAATTAATTGAAGAAAGTTTTATAGTATTTTAAATTTTTTTATTTTGTATCTTCGAAAGGTAAATAACTCAATAAAATATTAAATAATTGCAGAAAATATGTTCACTTGTAAAAATTACGAGTTAGTTAAAAACCAAAAATATGCGTTCACTTAGATTTCTGACAATTGTGTCATCCATAGTAGCTGTCATCGCTTCGTCTATCAGCAGTCCATCAAACGTTGGATCAGATGAACAGGACCAATCATTAATAAGTAGTTTTATATTATTTTTATGTTATAAGTAAGTAATATTTATTTCAAATCAGATTAATTTAAATTCAAATTTTATAATTTTACTAAAATAACGTGACAGATGTATATATTTATTTTTTGTAAGAATTTAAAATAGAAAAACTTGTTTTGTTTACAAATTTCTTAAAATTAAGAAAATGGCCGCTTTTAAGGAAATTTTAAGAAATCAAAATTAAATTTGACATTCCAAACTATATAATTTCTATCTGAAATAGTCCAGAATATTTTACTTATTGAACTATCAATTAAAGCTAAAATGAAAACTTCAAGAAAGATTTTTCATTTTAAAATTTTATTTTAAACATTAGGTATCGAAAATTCATGCCAAAAAAACTGGATGTCCCTACATATATATATATATATATATATATATATATATATATATATATATATATATATATATATATATTAATGTGCGTGTGTGCGTGTTGAATTTTCATGAGAAACACTTTGTTGCTGAGCTTGATGATGTCGACACTGACTGTCAAGATTAAACTTGCTTTTTATTTTCTTTTTTCTTTTGCTTTTGCTATTAAGGGGTTAACTGGTACTTAAGGGTCACCGGAGCAATTGTGTGCTTCAGCGACCACAAAAGAGTGATTAACTTCACTCATATGCTAACAATAAGCAAAGGATCATATTGCATGGATTCTAAATTGACCTCATCTTTATATATATATATATATATATATATATATATATATATATATATATGTATGTGTGTGTGTGTGTGTGTGTGTGTGTGAAAGTGAACATTAAAGTCTAGCATGAAGCAGCCAGTCTCCTCTGAGTTTTGACTTCAATGTTCACTTTTATATTTATATTTTCCTACACTTTATCCCTGATATTGATCAATTTATCCCATAAATATAGCACATATTAAAACTATATTTTTGCATATATATATATATATATATATATATATATATATATATATAAAAGTTTAATGGTTAATATATATATATATATATATATATATATATATATATATATATATATGTAAAATGTAATACATAAAAGGTTAATCTCCTCCCTTTCTATTACACCCAAGGTCGCGCGTTTTTTATTTATTTAAAAATGATTTAACATTCATTATTTTTTTTAAGAAAATAAAACGTGAATGGTTAATTTAATAAAAATCGCCTGAGGATAACGTAAGGTTGAAACCAAGTAGCGGATTCAACTACCCCTGATGCAATATATATATATATATATATATATATATATATATATATATATATTATATATATATATATATATGTGTGTGTGTGTGTGTGTGTTAAGGCAATAAATCCGTTAGTATATAATACAAGTTGATCCTAGTAATATAAAATAAATATTAAAAATGATCCAGAAAAGAGTTTAATGTATTTACAATAACAGAGTCAATAAATAATATTACACAATAAAATCTCAAATTATCTCATATAGGTGAGGGGATAGATGTATGTGCGTGTGTGTGTTTAAGAGAGAGAGAGAGAGAGAGAGAGAGAGAGAGAGAGAGAGATCATATGCTTCTGTAGTTGTGGCAGCAATATCTCTCTAATACTCATTTCATTAATATGACTAACATAAAATAGTGACTTCGTTCCCAACGAAAACTTCATACTACCACTCGCTTATCCAGGTGGCTGATCCTACCTCTCACGGACTTGAGCGCCATAAGAAAACTCTTGTTCGCATAAAAGTAAATGTTCAGTCATTTTAAGAGGCCGCAGAGAGAGCCATAGACGCAAACACACACACACACACACACACACACACACACACACACATATTAAGATTTTCGTTATGTCGGATAAGGAAAATCTTACTGAACAACAAAATCCTCTATAAAACAGATGCAAAAACGACTACAATTTCTGGAAGCAATCCTAATCAAAAACCGAAAAACTAACATAAATGAAATAGCACTTAATACGGCAGAAACATCTTAAACATATTTCGTGACTATTCCTCCAAATAATAAACATCAACCCCATCCTTATTAATAATGAACTAACCCAACGATATCGTCTAAATATATATATATATATATATATATATATATATATATATATATATATATACCGCATATACTTGCCACATTTGAAGACCAATTTTTGAAGCTAGTGTTAAGTTGGTCACATCCTACATGAAATATAAAATTAGCGTATGTACTGCTGGCCTTGTCTACGCCGTTCACCAAATTATATATCCATGTACTATACTCAAAGGTACATTTGTATTTAAATAAACATTACTTTGATAAAACTGATGTTTTACTTAACTTTATTTATGCGTAATTCATGTAATATTCACATATTTGTATAGTATTATATAATGAAAAAATAGCGAATATGCGTATTTTCCATTGTTTACGTTTATAAGACGTTTAAACTGTTTCTCGTTCGGTTGTTTATAGTCGTACGCGTTTACGCAACGAGTTATAGGATAAAAACAGCTATATTTTTTCGGCCAATAGGTGAAGCGCAATGCAAGTGAAAGACACCTTCAAATAAATACTTCAAAAGCCATTAGATACGAAAAAGCTTTACAATTCTATACAAAACCTAGCTTCAAAATTAAATTAAGTTGTTTCTGGAACCTGATTGGATATGACAAGTCACGTGATGTACTCTCTACGACGTCCGCGCAGTTGAACTTGAAATGACCTGGAAATATGTCACGGCTTGTGTCACAGAGTACGTTCCCGTCCAATACCAGATAGATTTCGTGAGCCGATCACCGACTCGATATAATCCATAAAAACGGTTTGTCAGCGACGGTCAAGCGCCATATCTTTAGCACAACAGATCGTCGAAAGAAGACGCGGAGTTGTCACATAAATATGTCGAAGTTATATTTTAGAAGTGTGGAGATGACATTGATAGCTGCCTGTGAACCAAAAGACAGCTGGCTAGCTCAAAACCAACAGAATCCAGATGTGGATCGAAGCCCATCAACTAAGCAAGGAAAATCAGAAGTCTTTGCGGATCTGGACATTAAACTAGACCACCTACCCACCCCACCGCTAAACGAAAAGTACAGCCCTGCAAAAAAAAATTGTGTGGCTTTTCTTGCGCTGTTTCTTACTAGATAGGAAAATATCATTTCTGCTCGCAAACATTGCAATGGATAAATGAAACGATTGAGAAGGTAAGTTTAAAATAATAACAAGTTACTGATTCTAGTGGAACACTGTATAAATTTTGGGGTGAGCAATCTCCTAGCCTAGCAAATCAGAATTTTAAACGTGCTCTTTAAAGACTATTGCTCTTTTTACCAAAGGTTCAAAACTTATAAACTTAAAAAAAAAACTATTGTCCTAATAAGTAAATAAAGTATATATGATAAATACATGTCCTTTTCTTGTATGTGCTGAATCCTTCCAGTGCCTGAGTGATCATGGCACTTCACAATTTCCATATCTTTTTAAATTTAAGTAATATTTATCTTCTTACTATTTGCTCCAGTTCTTGTTCTGCCATACCTTTACAAAAAACACGACGTTTGTCTCTGTTCTTCTTGTCCTCAAAATGCCCTTTCGATGTAAAATTCTCCAAGTCTTCTTTCCTCATTATCTGTCTTAGAAAATGTCACTTTCTCTTTTATTCTGAGTTTACATTTTCTTCAAACTTCCCACTAGCTCATAGGGGCTTACGGCCACATCACGTTGAAAAAGCGGTCCCTTACGATCATCGAAATTAAGCAACGTTAAATCTGGCCTGTACTTAGATAGGTGACCGCTTGCGAATAACAGGTACCTGGTCAGTACCTAGACGGATGGTAGCCGTTTGAAAATACCAGGTGCTGTAAGGTTAGATGTGATTGTAACTTACGGCCGCATCATGTCGAAACATCGGTTCCCATACGATCACTGAAGTTAAGCAACGTTGAATCAGGCCAGTATTTAGATGGCTACCCGCTTGGGAATACCAGGTACTTACATGTGCGGGTGGTGTAATGGATAACAACTTGAAATTGTTAATCGGAGGACCTACTTCCAAATAATTTGGTTCGTTATATTCACGTACGCACAAATATCGTTGGGAAAGTTATGAATCAACCTCTTTTCCCCTCAGCTATGGGTTAATTAATAAGGTTTTTATCGCTTAACACCTTTTATTTAAAAAAAAATCTTACAATCTAAAAACATTTTCTTGTTTTAAAATAGCCTGCAAAAGGGTGATAAGCCGTAAAAAACGAATCATATACGCAATCAAGGTTGCTCACATGTTTGGTCCATGATATTTTCAGTATTTTTCTGTAACACCGAATCTCTGTTACTTTAAATCTCAAGTTTATCTGAAATAAATTCAATGCTTCACAGAAAGATTGATATATTGACATTTCTGGAAAATTGATATTATATTATATTTCATGAAGATTGGTATTATATTACATTTCAGGTAGATTGATATTATATTACATTTCATGAAAATTGGTAATTTATTACATTTCATTAAGATGGATATTATATTACATTTCAGGAAGATTGATATATTATATTTCATGAAAATTGGTATTATATTACATTTCAGGTAGATTGATATTATATTACATTTCAGGTAGATTGATATTATATTACATTTCAGGAAGATTGATATTATATTGATATTATATTATATTTCAGAAAGATTGATATTATATTACATTTCAGAAAGATTGATATTATATTACATTTCATGAAAATTGGTAATTTATTACATTTCATTAAGATGGATATTATATTACATTTCAGGAAGATTGATATATTATATTTCATGAAAATTGGTATTATATTACATTTCAGGTAGATTGATATTATATTACATTTCAGGAAGATTGATATTATATTACATTTCATGAAGATTGATATTATATTACATTTCATGAAAATTGGTAATTTATTACATTTCATGAAGACTGATATTATATTACATTTCATGAAGATTGATATTATATTACATTTCAGAAAGATTGATATATTTCATGAAAATTGGTATTATATTACATTTCAGAAAGATTGATATATTACATTTCAGAATTCTTTTCTTTATTTCTACCGAAAGTTTACTATCTTTTATTTGGCTGTTTAGCATTTGGAAGGCATATGTTGCTATTCCAATAGACCTTTGCGTTTCTATGTCACATTTTTCGTAGTCCTTAAACAACATGGCTTGCTAGCAATCATGCCACAAAAAGGATTTCCCAATTTATTTTCCTACTTATTCTAGCTGTTGATTGGTTAACCTGATCACTCATTACATAGAAATGGCAATCAACCATCCTTGAAATGACACTTAAAAAAGTGTTTGTTTGCCAAAAATCTGCAGAATCATTTCGAATGTTTCGGTAGACCCGCCGAGCGCTATGCAAAATTTGGTATAGCCAATTTGGGTGAAATTCTCAGTCATTGCGAAATATTGCATAAAATAACCTTGCATAAAATTAAATTATTACATTGGCCACGGCATTCATAAACACCCCCCTTAACGAAACTTCGGTAAATTCTTGCACATGTGATCATCATAAGATAAGCAATCAAAATACAACTATTGACATAGGTCATATGTACATAGGTAGTATTTGAACATATTGGAAGACTGGATTTGTTAGATTTGCGTCGAATTTTTCTTTGATTGGTTCAGTCGCAGTTCGTGTATTTTTCGAAACTACATCGTAAAATTTTTTTTCTTCAGATATTTCAATTATCGTATGACACGTGAAAATTTATTCACTGTAATTAGCGAGTGAGATCAACTTATTAAATACGATGAGTACTCTGATTTGATAGAATACAGATAGTCTTACTAATTGGGAAAGTAATATTGTATAGTAGCACTAATCTTTCAAGAAATACGGCCTAATTAAATACCTTAAAAAAAATTATTGTCCGAAATACTATATTTTGTTGACTGCAGACTGCTGGGTGTTTCACTTTTTAGCTCATCGACAATTTAAAAAAAAAAAGAAAAAAAAAAAAAAGAAAAAAAAGGATGAAGGTTTTAAAACTTTTAAAGGCTTCTTCTTTGTTTCGTGTACCTTCAGGATGTTGGTGATCATGGCTCACCAACATCACCAACATCCTGTAGGTCCCTTGTAGCGTGAAGCAATATTTGACCTTTCACGAGAACTGTTTTACCCCTCTTTGCCATCCATTCACAAAAATATATTAGATAGGTCATGTTATGAAAAATCAAGAGTGGTCTCCTCTTGTTTTGTGACTCTCCTCTTTAAGAGAGCTATCTCTATTTACTGGAACTATAAAATGACACTATACTATACGCGAACCTTGTATTCTCAGTTGAATAAAACTTTCTTAATGCCTGCACCTGCGTAATTTTGTCATTACAGGTTATTCGTTTTTTTTCATCTACCCTTCCTTCATTCACTATGTCCTTTGTGTGTTATATTTCCAATCCGTGTTTCCTTATAATGTCTCCTGGTTTCGTCATCTGTTTTTTTTTCCGATTTTAAATGTAAGTGTTCATTTATTTTCTCTTTTCTTTAAACCTACATCGTTGTTGCTATGTTCATGCCATTTTTTTCTTAGCACCAGTCTGTACAATTACATCTCCCCACGCTTTCATACTCTAAGAATGACGAAGATTCTCGAAACGATATAACGTGATAAAATTATTTTATTTTTTGCTTCGAGGAAGCCGTATAATTAGAAACAAACTAAAGTACATCTTTATCTAATTGAGTACATGAAGAAAGAGGGCTTAGAAAATTTGATGTTCACAGGACGTACTGAAGACAAGATGGACAGAGTAAAGCAGTGCATAACTGATCTAACGAACTTTTGTAAACGGTTGGCAGAAGAGGGATTAGGAAAGATAGAAAAAAAAAGGGGAACTTTACTAAGGGCTATAAATGGGAAGATTGTGGAGAGCCATGATCACCTATTTCCTGAAGGGTCACGACATACAGAAGAACGAGCGTGTGTAAATGATTGGTAAAACAGGGATCAGGAGAGACAGAAAAAGACAAATTTTAAAAAGGGCTAAAAAGCTCTTTGTAAAATTTGATTCAACAGGAAAATCTGAAGAGCCATGATCTTCTACTGAATGGGCATGGCTCATAGAAGAAGAAGCAGAAGGAGAATAATAATAATAATAATAATAATAATAATAATAATAATTCTCCATGATTTTCTCTCAAACATTCATATCTGCTCAATGCGTATCCAGATGTAAACAAATGATGTCACACATTATGAAATGGACAAAGTCCGGCAAATATTAACAACATTTACCGGTCTGAATGTCAGGGAAATTTTCATAGAAAATATGCGTCCGCTGACAGAGAATTGTGTTTAAATACAGTAAAATCAACCTTGCTAACCGAACACTCCTCTGTGGCCTAATCGGTAAAGACACGTCAGGCTATATGACGGTTCCGTATAGGATACAGGTTCGATTCCTGTCGGAGGTCTATGAAAATTTCTCAGACATTCAGACCGGTACATGCTGTTAATACTGTTTATTATAAACAGAGAATTTGCTTAAATATTTGTATCTATAAAAAGAACGTGTAAATGTAAAATTGTCTTGAAATAATTGTCGGATTTTGTCCATTTCAAAATACATTGTATATATAAGTGTGTTATTAGTAATTCGTATTCAATTATTCTAAATAATTTAGTATTTGACTATTTTAATTCCTTACATATACTGAAAATACTTAAAGATTGCTTACTCTCCGATGAGTGGTACACGTGAACAGAATAGTAGCTTTTTTGAATGTCGTTCATATCGCAAATATCAACGCTATCGTGATATCCGACGGCATTTTAGAAACAACAACCGATAACTTTTACTTGTAAATCAACTTTTCTTTCTTTTTTTATAGTTTTTACTTCGAGTAGAACATTTAAAAATGTCATTCAATGCGTAACAATCGATTTCTTTTGAAATTTAATAGAAAGTAACAAATTATAGTCTAAAATAGTATTCTTCTCAGCATAGGGACCTAAAAAAAAAACCTAAAACGCATTTTAAATAATTTAAATGATTTGTTTCAACTTAAATTTTCGAAATATCTTTGAAAGATAATAGCCTAAGGCTAAACCGAATTAAAAGAAAAAAAAACTCTTTCTTCTTCTTCTTCTTCTTCTTCTTCTTCTTCGTTGTCGTCGACTTTGTCATCATCATCATTTTCTTCTTCTTCTTCTTCTTCTTCTTCTTCTTCTTCTTCTTCTTCTTCCTCGTCATCATCTTCTTACTCTTCGTCATGATCATCATGCTTTTCTTGTTCTTCTTCTTCTTCTTTTTCTTCTTCTTCTTTTTCTTCTTCTTCTTTTTCTTCTTCTTCTTCGTTGTCGTCGACGTTGTCATCATAATCATCATCATTTTTTCTTCTTCTTCTTCCTCGTCATCATCTTCTTACTCTTCGTCATGATCATCATGTTTTTCTTGTTCTTCTTCATCGTCATCTTCTTCTTCTTCTTCTTCTTCGTTGTCGTCCATGTTGTCATCATCATCATCATCATTTTCTTCTTCTTCTTCCTCGCCATCATCATCTTCTTACTCTTCGTCATGATCATCATGTTTTTCTTGTTCTTCTTCATCGTCATCTTCTTCTTCTTCTTCTTCGTTGTCGTCCATGTTGTCATCATCATCATCATCATTTTCTTCTTCTTCTTCCTCGCCATCATCATCTTCTTACTCTTCGTCATGATCATCATGTTTTTCTTGTTCTTCTTCATCGTCATCTTCTTCTTCATCGTCATCTTCTTCTTCTTCTTCTTCTTCTTCTTCTTCTTCTTCTTCTTCTTAGCCCTATCTGCTCAAGACATTGGTGATCATGTCTCTCTACAATTTCCTGTCTTTTGTTGTTCTTAGCAAATTTTATCTTTTCGCTATATCTCCTAATCCCTGTCGGCCATTTACACAAGTTTATTAGCTAGTTATATACGCTGCTTTCATCTGTCCTTCTTGCTATCAATAAGCCTTGTAA